TTCCTGATGAGAGCTTATTCTCTGCTTCGGTGTGGCACTAAAATATTGCCTGTGAACTTCTGGTAGGGTAGATCTGAGAAATACAGATGTCTGCAGGTCCTGTAAAGTCACTGTGAAAAAGTGATTTGTAAAATGTTTGAAACTTTGACAGTAAGGCAAAGAAGCTGTGTTGAAAGTTACAGGCCTGTAGGAGTCTGCCTATGTTGGGTTGTGTATCTTTAAAGGAAAAATCTTCAGAAATAAGGGCCAGATTCCCAGACTGCTAGACTTACAAGCATGAGCCACCATACCCCTATAGTGTATTTCTTAAGACTAAAGGTTATTTAATTTTTTAAAAAATCCTACAAGTGTAAAGAATTTGCTAAGATTATACACACATACAAATATTTTAAAGAAAATAAGATTATTTGCACTGTTGTACTTAATGCTACCTCTTACAATCTGAGATTTGCAACCTCCAGTCCAAATAATTCTCACAGGTAAATGATTAGACCCCTGCTTCTCAATGCATGTGGATTGGAGGTGGGGAGTTTGCAGTCACTCCCTGAATGCACCTGCACCCGAAATTTCAGGCCCAGGAGTTACTGACAACCCTTCCTCAATTTCCTTATATCCAGGTTACACAATCTTTTTGTATCTAATAGAGAATATAAATTTAATCATACCACCAAGAAAGGTTGTGGAAAGTCATTTCCTCATGCACCAAATATTTAAAGTACTACTACAAGGAGAGGTCAGTTTTGGTGCTTATCAGCATTTGGCTATCACCTGTCAAATTATTACATGAATTCCAAAAGACCTGGATTCTCATCAAAGGAAATGGGAGAGTGGAACAAACAGTTGTTCTAAGCATAGCAGAAGTTGCTAGATGATTCATTATATTGCCTAATTCTAGTCAAGGATTTTGCATTGTTTAGACAAAACCTTACAGAATGAAGTCCAGTGATTTAATTTTCAAAAAGCTTTGAAGTAATTTATTCATTTTCCCCATATGAACTTGAATTCCACCTGTCTTTTCTCATCTATATGTTCTGAACACAGCTTTTAAAAGCAGCATGGGGTGGCGCCTGTGGCTCAAAGGAGTAGGGAGCCAGCCCCATATGCCGGAGGTGGTGGGTTCAAACCCAGCCCTAGACAAAAACTGGAAAAAAAAAAAAAAAAGCAGCATGCTGGAGGAAGCAAGAAGGCAGCCAAGTAATACCTTCATTGCAACTGGACATGGTGAGATTGGAAAGAGAAACTCCAGGCATCTCTGGTTTGTGGGTTCTTCCCAGAAACATCTTTTTGGGGATGCGGGGAGATAGCAAGAGACTTCTGAACCCCAGGAAGAGGACAAAAGCAGTGGAGAAGTGGTAGGTAGTTGCGTTCAGTTTGAGGCTGCCACAGTTGTAACTACAACAGTAGTAACATTGCAGACTGGGAAGGCCTTCCTTGAGGCTTGTTTTGTGTTTTTGAATTGAGATTTATTTACCTGGGGAGAACTTGGGCAAGAGTGCAGGTGACCTTAAGCATTGTCCAGGGTCCAGGACTGAGCCACTGGGCTGGAACAGAATTAACATTGTTTGGCTATGGGCCATGCACTGCCCTGCAGGTTCCACACTCAGGGTTGCAGAGCTAGACTCAGGCTGAGAGGCATTGGGCAAGTGATCTAGCACCAAAAGCCAGACTGAGATGCTGGGGAAGAGTGGAGCTTTCAGTGTTTGGAAGTAGGAGGGCTGCATTGCAGCTTTGGCCCTCAGGGGCATAGAGTGAGGCCAGTTTTGGTGCACCAGATAAGTAGGCAGCCACTTCAGGAGAGATGGCAGTGACAAGTGCTTTCCTAGGAAAGCTTCTTAGCTAAGGTTAATGGTTTAAAGTGTCTATTAAGTGGGCTGAGGAGAGATTCAGGATCTCAACCCAGTAGGGTTTGAGGACAAAGAAGTCAACAGAGGACCCCAATCTTCATCTCATACAGCTGATTCAACATTGTGATTAGCATCTCATACTCCAGAAGATCACCTGCTGCCTGGACAATATTCAGCAAGACATTTGCTTTTTTTTTTTTTTTAACATTTCCCCTCTAGAATTTTCTTTCTTTTTTTTTTTTTCTTTTCTGTCTTCATTTTCTAGCTTAAATATAAGAAGAACTTCCTTTTTTCTAGTGTTTCTGCCCCTGTTATTTGTTCTTTTTCCCCCCAATTTGATCCTGTAAGGTTTTATGTTTGTTTGTTTTGGTTTGCTTTATACTATTTTTGTCTTTTTTCCTCTCTATCTGATGGCAGTGGAGTACGATGTCTGCTCAGGCTGTCAAAGAGAGGCTGACCTCAGGTTAACCACCCAACCCAGCACCCCTAGAAGCTGGGTTGGTTTTGTTGTTGTTGTTCTTGTTCTTGTTTTTTAGAATTGATAAATAGTTCACTGACTGAACCAAAGACTTTATTTTTTAAAAACACATAAACACCAAAACACTGTGTGGTGTCCAAACTCATTGCAAAAAAATAATTACTGGAATTTTCAAAACATCAAATGAATAATGTAAATCAATGGTTATTATTATCATTTTCAACCAATATACAGATTTTCGTTCAAAGTCTAAGTTTTATTCCTACATAACAGTATTCACATGAGTTCCCCATGCCAACTTTTTATCAAAAGTAGGAGTCTTGAAAGTCAAGCCCAGCTTTGTCTTGATTTCAAAGATGACAAAGCAGCCAGCCTAGAACTCTGGAGCTTGCTGCTTGAGTCCTAGAAATCATGTCTTCCCATGTCATACAACAAACTATGTCTCCAAAAAATAAGATGAGATTCTAGATTCCTTTGAAACAGTTCCAGTTTCCCAGTGCTCCAGCACGATGGGACTCAGCCATGTCCAAGCATGCCTTCCTTCAACTTCCTAAACCTGCCACTGGGAACCCAAATTCAACTGTGTTTTCAGAGTTCCATGATGGAAGTTTTTAAGAACTACACTAACCCCAAAGAAAGGCAATAAATGAAATTATCCATTTCTTTTATCTGTTAATAGCAACAACAACAAAGTGAGGGTGCATTGGTAAATGGGTAGACCACAGCAGTTATATGGTCATAGACAATGGTTTTGCAAGGCCCTGCTTTCAAAATTATGGACAAAGGTGTTTGAGATCTAAAAGAGGTTAAAAAATAAATTATTAGAACAACAACCCTATGGAGGGAGATGGTGCTGAGGATCTGGCACAAAGAAACAGGGAAGGCAGAGCAATGACAAAACCCAGTGTGCCCTGATGGCTTGGTGGCTATGCATCTACTAGGTGTTAATAGCCTCTCCTTGTCCTTAAAAAAAAAAAAAAAAATTAAATTAAAATGAGTACATGTGCTAATGAAATCTGCAATTACAGAACTTAAAAGCCACGCCCATAAAAGCTGTAAGGCAAGAATTTTGTCATCAGGGGTGGGAACAGGTGGATAAGATGGTAGGCAGTCAAGGCTGGTTCAGCTGCATTCAGGGCAGAACAGCCTTAAAAACAAGGCAACCTGTGGCTTCTCCATTTGAGATCAGCAGAAAGGCCAAATGAGGCAGGTAAAGGAGCCAACCATTGGCAAATCACAGGAAGGTATTCAGAAGGGGCAACAATCACTGTTAGATGGCATGACTCAGGGTCATGGGTAGGCAGGAGCCCTTTGAGCCAACACTCAAGGGGAATGTGGTTACATGTCCTATATAACACTCAAAGCAGGAATTTCTGGGGTTTGGAGGTTTGTTAGTTTTGTGACATTTCTCCCCCAAAAGAAGACATGAAGGAAGGCCCCAGGAAAGCTGAGATCATGAGAGCAGAACCTCCACCAGGGGTGGGGCTGGATGAGAGTTG